TTTTTTTTTTTTTTTTCTTCTGTAGAGATAGATCTCGCTATGTTGACTGCTATATTGACCGGGCTGGTCTCAAACTCCTGGCCTCAAGCCATCCTGCTGCAGCAACCTCCCAGAGACACTGGAATGACAGGTGTGAGCCACTGTGGCAGGCCAGTCTCCTGGTTGATTTCAATCTAGACACTTTAATGAGCACCAAACATGAACCAGGCAGTGGACTAGACTCAAGGATGGGCTGAATGTGTTTCCTGTTGTTCAAGCAAGCAGAGGGCAAATGAGGCCCATGTACGAGTAGCCAACAGTAACATTGGGTGGCTCACGCCTGTAATCCCAGCACTTTGGGAGGCCGAGACAGACAGATCATTTGAGGTCAGGAGTTCAAGACCAGCCTGACCAACATGGTGAAACCCCCCCCCCACTCTACTAAAAATACAAAAATAATCAGCTGGGCATGGTGGAGTGTGCCTGTAATCAGGAGGCTGAGGCGGGAGAATCACTTGAACCTGAGAGGCCAAGGTTGCAGTGAGCGGCAATCATGTACCAGTAAAACACCTACGGCATGCCAGTCAGTGTTCTAAGTGCTTTGCAAATATTAACTCGTACACTCCTCATATCTCCACAATGACCCTCTGAGGCAGGTTCTATCTTTTCCCCACTTGCAGATGAGGAAATTTGCCCAAGGTGACAGAGATTAGGATTCAAGCCCAGGCTGCTGGCTCCCAAGACCATGCTCTTACTCCACTATTGTCTGTGGCCTCCACATTTTTGTTGTATTTTTGGCATTTGTTGACTTTGAAGTGTGGGAAGGATTTGAGAGGCAGAGAAAAGGCACTTTGGGAACAACATGAACCAAAACACAAGTGGTTTGTAGCTACATTATCATAATGGTTCCTGTTTGTGACAGTTTAGTGCAACTAGCCTTTTCATGTATAATTTCAACCCCAGCAATTCATATTATGTAAGAACTTTTTTTTTTTTTTTTTTGAGACGCATTTTTGCTCTGGTTGCCCAGGCTGAAGAGCAATGACTCAATCTTGGCTCACCACAACCTTAGCCTCCTGGGTTCAAGCAATCCTTCTGCCTCAGCCTCCCGAGGTGCTGGGATTACAGGCATGTGCCACCACGCCTGGGTAATTTTGTATTTTTAGTAGACACGGGGTTTCACCATGTCGGTCAGGCTGGTCTCAAACTCCCAACCTCAGGTGATCCGCCTGCCTCAGCCTCCCAAAGTGCTGGGATTACAGGTGTGAGCCACCATACCTAGACTTATGTAAGAACTACTGTAGCTCCGTTCCACAGATGAGGGAACCAGGGACCAGGGGAATCGTCGTGCAAAGTCACAGCTAGGAAGTGGAGGAGAAACCGGGACTCAAACCCAGGTCACCCAATGGCCTAGTCTGCATTCTCACCACAGCACTCCACTGCTTCTCTCCTCTGTAGCTGGGAGAAGATGGAATTCAGTAACTGGACAGGTGACTGGGATGAGGTGCAGCCCTAGAAGCTGTACCAGAACTCACAGGACCCCAGAGCTGCCAAGCTAGAATGCCCTCAAAGGGCTTATGGTTCAAGCCCCAGGGGTGTCACCCCTATGGGAGTTTCGCTGAGGAGCCTATCTCATAGGCAGTTCTCCCTCTGATCTTTCCTGCTGCTCAGTCATCCTAATCTGTTGTTCAGGCACTCCCAGGGAGAGCTGTTCCAGCCTTAGCCTTGGCTTTTTGTCCTGCCTTGGCCCAAATCCATGCTCCTAGCCTGACTCCTACCATGTTTTCTTCTCCTCCTCCTGCTCTCAAGACATTCAAGATTCTGTGCCCTTGTCACCTCATCTCCTCACTGGGTTCTCTCATTTCTGCAATGAGTAAGAAATGTGAGTAGGAAGAAGATGTTCTCGGAAACTCAAGTTCAAATATTCCTGTTTCTGGTTAGCTCTGGGGCCTGCCACGAGTCACTCAACTTCTCATTCCGTTTTCCTGTCTGTAATCATATTCATACCCACCTAAGCAAAGCCCTGTTGTGAGAAATAGATGAGATCATGAATGGAAACAACTAGTCACAAATTTTAAATATATTAATAATAAATAAATGTGTATATATATATATATTTTTTTTTTTTTGATGGAGTCTTGCTCTGTCGCCCAGGCTGGGGTGCAGTGGCCGGATCTCAGCTCACTGCAAGCTCCACCTCCCGGGTTTACGCC